CCTCACTGCCATCACATCAAAGGTAAATGATTTTGACCCTTCAGTACTTTTATCTGACGAATATATGGCTGCTTTTGCTAGGAGATTCAAGAAGTTTATGAAGAATCCCAAAGATGGAAGGGGTCCATCATTCAACAGAAAGCCATACCAGAAGGTCAAAACAACAGAAAGCAGTGGTGAGCTTCTCTGTTACAACTGCAGACAACCTGGACATTTCAAAGCAGAATGTCCACATCCTAGAGTGTCCAAGAAACAAGGGCATGATGGAGAAAAGAAGAAGTATGAAGACAACTCCAGAAGGGGGACGGTGTTTGGGTTAACCCAAGCGCTTGCTTTCGCTAGGCGCCCTCGGGATGGCCCTTTGTAGGGAGGACCCTGTTGCTGAGGGCCTTGGACAAACTAGGACAGATGGCCTGCCTGTATTAACCTTTCGATGGCTGTCTTCAGCTGATGGCAGTCATAGGTTTTGTGCCCTTGATGTAGGTGGAAGCGAGAGTAGGGGTAATTTGGATTGATGGCATATACCTCCGGGGGTGCGTGAGAATATCTCTCCACCAGGCCCCTCTCCTCAGCGAAGTCGAGGATGACGCTGACAGGGTGCGTCAAAGGTGTCCGAGGGTGCTCCCGGAGAACAGGTTGTGCCCAAGTCTTCGGGTTACCCTTGTAATCTCCCCCGGGCTTGGCTTGGCCGCGCCGGGGGCGATCACTGGGGGGTGCTGAACCTTTGGTTTGATTGTGAGGAGCCCCCGGTTGCCCTTATCATCTGACCGAAAGCGTTGCTGATTGGGGTTGTGATGGCATTTTCCACCTCCTCGGCCTCGGCGTATCGGTCCCCCCGCTGCAGGGCCCTTATGTAATCGCGGGGAGGTTCGATGATGAGGCTCCTTGAGAAGTTCCAGGGGCGGAGCACTGTTTGGAGGAGGTCCGGGAGGGTCCCGTCGTCTGCGCCATCAACTTTATCAGCCTCCGTTCTCCAGCGCTCCAAGAAGTCCCGAAGGGTCTCCTCTTTCCTTTGCCTCACCGTCAGCAAGTGGTAGAAGTGTTTTCTTGTTCGGTGCCTTCCCGCAAACTGTGTCAAGAAACGCTGGGCAAGTTCTTGCCACGAATCAATGCTGTCTTCGGGTAACCGGTTTAACCATTCGTGCGTCGGCCCCTCCAAGGTGGAGAGGAACCAGCGGCACAAATATTCATCTGATGCCCCCACCATCATCATGCTGTTTTGGTAGCGACTGTAATGCTCCTGGGGGTCCGTCTTTCCTTCATAGGGCCTGATGGGTTTCCCCCGGTATTTTTCCAGAATTCGGGCTGCCAATACCCTTGGGGTAAATGACGTCCTAGTCCGGAGTTGGATGATAGGTTCCTCGGAGCTCTCAGTTATCTTCTTCTGCATCTCCTCCATCTTGGCCAACATAGCCTCATAATTTAGATCTGTATGAGGGGTAGGGGTGGTTACGTGTGCTTTGATGGCCTCCATCTCATCGAGCTGGCGCTGGAGGGCCGCAATGATCTCGTCCCAGGGGTCCTTCGGGAGGGCCTCCGCCCCCTGCGAACGGACACGGGCCGAGTGGGCCTGGTTGATGTGGTGACGGGCATCGTCGGCATGGAGGGGCGCTTTGCCCTTGTCCTGGGGGGGGGGGGGGGACGCCTTTCATCTGCCCTGGAGACGGAACCCCCGCTCTCTTGAGGCCTTTGGAGCGCTTTTCCCCCGAGGCGGTCTTGGACTCCTCGGCGGTCTGGGGGCCCTCCGAGCCTGTCGAGGGCGGAGGTCCAGAGCCACTCCTTGTTTGCATTATGGCGGTCCCGGGATTGGACTTCTTGGGAGGCCGTGTCTTGGGCCACGACCCTCTTGACGTTCCCAATCCGAAGGACAGGATTCTCGAGGGGGTGTGGATGAGGGGAGGCATGATGTTCTCCCCGACCTGAGGTTAAAGAGGAACCAAAGTACCCAAAGCTCCTAATCATTCAGGTTTTGATTTCGTTCAGTGAATGATATTTAACCATATACTACAAAGCTCAGAAGAAATAGATATCTTTATACTTGAATAATATTCTTTTTATTTTTCTTGAAATAAAAAGAAAAATTTATTGTCTGTCCCCGGCAACGGCACCAATTTTGGCGAGCAGTTTGTCACGGTGCGTCAAACTAAATTGAATACTAGCACTAATACATAATATAAGTGAAGTAGAGTTTGTATCCACTGAGAAAGGAATAATTCTCTTTTTATGAAACTAGTAAATAAAAGGGGGGTTTTGGGATTGAATGATTTAATTTAAAAACTAAGATGAACAACCTATATGTGTTTTAATTCAAAGATAAAAGAATTTGGCATTGCTACTTTCCACTTGTTGATATATTTTAGTCGATCATTGTTATAAATATAACTTATTCCCTCTCGAATACTCAATCGAGGAGTATATCCAATTCATCGAGGGTAGTTATTAACAACGACCGTTCATTAATAACCCTTAATATTAGTCAAGTATAGAACACCGTCATATACCGACTTGATAGTAGCATTTAATCTCTTAACTCCTTGATGAAATCAATTGAGATTGATAACCTCAACACAACGGTTTCGGTTTAACCAACAAAATTAATCCCTCTTAAGTTTATCAACCACGACCGTGCATTAATAAACCGAAGTTACTTATTTCTGAAACCATCAACGATTAACCATCGGTTCATCGATCGCTTCTAGTAATAATTAATATATGAAACAAAACTAGTTGATCCTTTAAGTAATGTTCAAAATAGTAATATGAAATATGAATAGGAATTAATTAATATTTAAGGAAGAATATTATTAAAGGAGATGAATCCTACTAGAATTAATGTCAAGATGTTAACTAATTGTCATCTTAGCAAAACTCCCCAACATTAATATAGAGGAAGAAAATACTACTCTAACTAATGTCAAGATGTTAACTAATTGTCATCTTAGCAACACTCCCCAACATTATTGTAGAGATAGTATTAAGGACAGAACTAATAATTAATATTCAAGGAAGGAAGTTAAGAAAATAACTCACAACTTTAATAATCAACAAGCTTCAAGAGCAACACAAAAAAATGGAAGTTTAGCTCCTCATTTGGAGACTAAACATAGCTAGAAAAATATAAAGAAATGCTATTCTAAACTAAGCTTACGAGTATGGAAGAAGGAATGATTTTTAGAGAAGAAAAACTGTGCTATTTATATGTGTTTTTCAACACCTTTGACCGGGTACACGACCGGGTCAAGTACCTACCCGACCGGGTCTGGTCAAAATCAAATATCCTCCACGTTCTGGTGATCTTCGCACGCCGGATTGTCCCCGGTCACTTCTCACCCGACCGAGTGAGGTGGTGGGCCCGACCCAGCCATGCAATTTCTTTACATTTTCGTTTTTCACTTCTTACTCGACCGGGTCAAATGTTATACCCGGTCGGGTATTTGCTCCTGGGCAGCCAAATCTTCTTTTTCTTCACTTCAAAGTCTTCCTTTCCAACACCACAAGTCCTAACTAAATTTTACAACTTACAAATAAAGACTTAAATACAATTACAACTAAAATCACACAAATGTTTACAAACCAAGTACAATGGTAAATAATCCAAATAAATCAAATATATAAAACATACAAATGCACTACTAATTAGTGTGCATCACACTGCCTTGAACCACTCTAAGAGTATTTGTTCCTAGACTGTTGGACCTTAGAGACGGTCATATCTTGGAAGCTGAAGGGAGGTCGCTGATTTTCGACTGAATCTGGAATTGGATGGGTAAGCGGCTAGGCGGTGAGACTCAGCAAGGCGTGATGGCTCAGCGAATCTAGGCGGCGGGTTCGCACAACAATGACAACAGAGAGCTAGATCAGTGAAGGGAAGAAGACGGAAGGCTCAGGGTCGGGGCGGATGAGCGGATCCACGGATTGGGAGAGAGAGAAAGTCACTTTTATTTGTTGAGCAAGTTTTCTGTATTTGTTTACAAACAATATCAAATTTTCATATTTTTGAATTTGAACTCTATTCTACATGTTGCTAACCAGCTTATTTTGTTGCCTGACAAGCTTATTAGTTCGAACTTACTATGTATGAGATGTGATGAAACAACTATGTAAAAAAGATGACCATACACATTAGTGCTTGTTGTATTCTTTTTGGATGGTGAACCAGCTTGCATAAGGCAATGATTTGCAGTTATGAAATCTAATTCTATTAGTCAACTTTACTTCTCAAATAATTTTCTTTATAAAATATACTCCCAACTATGTACTACATATATACATTAAGAAGTTTTATAAAAAAATTGCATTTTTAATGGGTTCTCCCCATATGACTGAAAAATTATTCTCTAATTTTCGCAATTTTGAACTTCCCCTCGAATTGAGAAGCGATATGCAAGCAATGCAATTGGTTTTGTTGGAGACTTGGGGGCGCCATTTCTTGAAGATGCTACATCACTTCCATCAGCCTAAGAGTTTGTTGGTAATTTGAATTTATTCAATTGTTTTTGGTAATTTCATTTTTGTTCATGTAGTGTTTGCAATGGCTTTACATTGTTGACAACTTTTATTTTGAGTAATGTGATGCAAGGAATGCTTAATGGCAATGTTTGGTTCATAGGGTTGAGAAATCTGGAAAGTTGCATTCCCCATGATGTAATATGGAGAGGAATGTTAAAAGAATCCATGCTTTGGGTTATCTGACATTCTCGAAGATGACCTAATTTTCTTCCAAAAATACTCTCAATTAATTAACTCTTTTACTTTATACTCCATCCGTCCCATTAAATTCTTCTCACTTTCTTTTTTGGGTCGTCCCAAAAAATTCTTCTCACTTATCATTTTTGGACAATTTGTGTGGTTCACATTCATTTCACATTTTGCTTACACAACCACAACCATACATTTTCACTTTATTTCACTTTTTAATCTTCGTGTCAAGTCAAAGTGGGAAGAATTTTATGGGACAGAGGTAGTATCTAACTTTTATTAAATTTGATTTTTTGCGACTCTATAATCTTATACTTTATTCATAAACTCCTCCAACTGAATTTTTTAAAGGGTTTTTAAACGTTCAGAGCTGCAGCATATTTATGCGCGTAAATTGGACAAAATTTCTATTTGTGCATCACACATCACACGGATGAAAATCTAGTAATAGAGTAACATGCAAAAATGAAAAAATGAGATAATTAACGGGGAACGGAGGGAGTATTTTGTTTCTGAGAAATTACTCCAAATTGAACTAAAACATATTTAAAATGCATAAATAAAAATTAATTTTCAAAAAAGGACTAATTAAGGATATGGTTTTGGTGGTGGTGCTATGGAATGCTTCTCTTCGTGTGGGTGATAATAAGGATAGATGGTGTAAAAGGTTTGAGCCACGGTGAGAGCAAGGAGAATAAGGGCCGCTAACAGAGACAGAGCGGTCCAGGGAGATCGGAAGTGGGTGTCTCTGACCTCGGCCAAGTAAACGTGCAATTTGTATTCGCAGCGCTTCAATTTGTTTTTGTAGTGCTCGTCCACTCCAACGTACACGTCTCTCAAATAGCTTTTGGTGTTATCGACCGCCGCCGCCATCCCCAGGCGGTTCACAAACTCCGCCACCTCACGCTGCGACCCAAAGTGGTGGCGCAAGATCTCGGCCTCGCACAACAGATCCACGTCCTCGTGCGTGTCTATGAGGCAGTCCAGAAACTTGGCGTACTCCGACATGCGCCTGTCTGTCCCCTCGTAGCACTGCTCGAACGCAATGAAGTTCAGCAAGATCGCGCACATAGTGTCATCCAGCTCTAGCAGCGGCATCCAGATCACTCCCCGCTTGAAATCCACCGGCAGGAAACTCCTCTTAGTATCTTGGTTATCCCTCAGCTTCACCTCGATTCCGGCTCGCCGCAGCTTCGAGATGCTCGGGATGTTTATTACTTTGGGAGTCTCCCCGGAACTGCCCGAAACTGGCGACACATTTTCGGCTCCACTCGGCCGGTTTCCCGAAGCTGAAACCTTTGGCTTCGGCTTCGGTAAATAACTTTTCCGGACTAAATCAAGAAGATGAAGCCCTTCAAAGTCGCAACCCAAAGCATTGCAGATTGTTTCCGGGTCTCTTCCGGTTTCATCAGAAATTTTGAATAAGTGGAAGGCCGTTTGGGACAGAGTAGGCATGCTCCCTCTGGGCAACCATTCCCTGCCTTTCATTTCAGTAAGTTGGTACAATTTCTGGAGCACGATATATGGTATTTGGTTCTCGAGGCAGAGAAAGTCGTCGCGGAGACGGAAACGCATCCATTGCATTGATCTCAAGAGGTCGCCTTTGTTAAAGGGAACCACGTTGCTGAATGCCCGAAGTATTTCAATCACAAAGATCCCATCAAGAACCAACATCTCTAGGAACTCATTACGTTTGTCTTTGGGAGTAGGGATAGCCTCAGAATACGATGCTCTGGCCTGTTTTTCTAATACCTTGACCTCTTTTATGAGGCGATCCAAACCCACGCCCGTCCTGGCAATTGCTCTTGCCAAGAACCTCCACTTGTGCTCCTCCATCGCCTTCAGACGCGGTTTCCCGCGGTGGAATGGACCGATCGAGACCGTGCGAGGTTGATACGACTGAGCATGGACATCGGAATCGGTGATGAGCTGGGATACCCGGAAAATGCTGCAACAGGCCGAATCGGTGTTTAATTTCGGCAATCCATGCAGCTGACTTCCCATGGATTGGATGAGTTCTTCTACATCCACAGGCACACTGTTGCTTGTGATTTCTTCAGCCTCCTCATCCCGGGGCTGCTCTTCTGTGGAGTTTCTCCCATCCATGTTTGATTTAAATTGTGGGTAATTCTCCAAACTCCAAACAATTTTTGAATCGATCCGGAGCAGTAATTAACATATAGCTGGTCCCTAGCCAGGGGAAAGTGCATCTCATAACGGTACTATGTCCTTGTTCGGCGAAATAGTTTCAGAAATTATAATATAGGTAGTACATAGTACACTCCCTTAGCTGTTTCCACACAACTTTTGAGCTGTAATAACCTTACATTTTTGTTTGTGATCGATTGAATACTTCACTTTTCTTAGCTCAATTATTTCACTTGGTTCAAAAGGTTGAATCTCCCACCCAAGAGCCCTCATACATCGACTCCACAGGATTTTTGGGAGGATGTTAATCACGGTGACTCAGTCGGCTCAATGATGGTAGGCCTTTTTCCCGTGCGCACCAGAGACCCGGCTTTATTTCAGGTTCTGTGATCTTCACATGACCGTTGCAGGTTTCGAACCTTGGTCACTTGGTCCAAATTTGCCATCACTGAACCAACTGAGCTACCCATACGGGTAGCTCAATTATTTCACAATTATGCTAGGGGTACGCACTACAAATACCTCTTAATTTTTACCATTTCACTTTTATTTATTTTTACCCCCTTTCTCTCTCTTATCTCCTTCTCTTCTATCTCTTTGTTCTCCACCATTCCACTTTTGTTTAGAAACAATGACCACTTCAACGAGCTCATGTACTAAGTGAAAGTGTCCTTGAACCTGATATGAAGTGTTTGGCCACAAACAATAGCCACTTAAATGTAGGGGTGGGTTCGGTTCTTTCGGTTCGGTTCTTTCGATTCGGTTTTATACTCCAAAACTTCAAATCACAGTTTGATTGGTTCGGTTTGTTTCGGTTCGGTTTCGATTTTTTCGGGTTTTTACTAAATATTTGTCATTTAATTTGAAATTGATATGAAAGTTGGAGGGATCAAACATATTACATAAAAATGCAAGCATACTTGAACAAATGAAGAAAATATTAATAAACAAATATGTCTTGAATTATATGAGTATGCGGGAGAGATAAAAGTGTGTATCTATTCTTAATTTACAATGTTTGTGACTAGTTTGAAAAACGTTTATGAATACATATGTCCCGTGTGATTTAGCCGAGATGAATATTTATTTGTTTTATCAATATAAAAAAGTTAAGTTACAAAAAAGAATTAAGTTACATAAAAATAAAAATTAATTACTACTAATAACTAGTAAAAACATATAATCCTGCAACAAATTGCAACATACATACATAAAAGACATAATAGATCAATATAACTACATTATTATGGGCAATGAATATGTAAATGCATTTATAAACTAAACTAAACATAGCATAAACATTATTTTCTAGCACAAGAAATTCAAAGATTATTGATGATATTAAGATTAATGCTTACATTTAACAAATAAAATTTCATATTTTATTTATGTTCGGTTTGTTCGGTTCGGTTCGGTTCGGTTTTGAAGGGTAAAAACCAAAACCGAACCAAACTACTACGGTTTAGTTCAGTTTTTACATTTGGTTTCGGTTTTTAGCTGTTCGGTTTTATTTGGTCGCGGTTCGGTTTAATTTGATTCGCTTTTCGGTTTTCGGTTTTTCGGACCCATCCCTACTTAAATGGGCTAATAAGCTGATGTGCTAAGCGGAATTGTCTTGTGAACCGGACATGAAATGTCCGGTCACAGACAATAGCCACTGGAACGAGCAAATGTACTATTGAAATTGCATGTGGGTGTGACATGAATTGTTTGGTTACAAACAATAACCACTTAAATAAGTTAATTTGCAAATGTAGATGAATTGAATACTATTTTTTTTGAAAAATAATTTTCATAAAATAATAGCGTAAAATGTAGTCAAAGTAGATAATGTGAATAGTGTGAAATTCAACATGTTGCGATTAAAAAAATGGAGGATAGTAAGTAATTATAAACATAAATCCTTTGGGGTCCTTTGGCTATTGTTTGTGGCCACACATCTATTATTAGATTCAAAGACATGTTCACTTGGTACATTTGCCGTTCAAGTTGCCATTGTCTGTAACCAGACACTTAATGTCAGTCTCACAGACAATTCATGTGTGGTTCACAGACAATTCCACTTAGCACATTAGCACAGGCTACGTGGAATTCCACTTCTTGTGCTAAGTGGAATTGTCTGTGAACCAGACATGAATGGTTTGAACACAGACAATCACTACTTGAATGGACCAATGTACTAAATGAAAGTGTATGTGGACATGATATGAAGTGTGTGGCCACAAACAATACCCACCAAATGGACTAATTAGCTCATGTACTACGTGAAATTGTTTGTGAATGAGACATGAAATGTCTGGCCACGCTGTTCAATACCCACAAAATGTCGAGCAGGTAAATGAAGACGAGGAGCTGGCCCTCGCTGTTCAAGTCGTTGAAGAAGAGGAGCAAAAGGAAAGCATGAAGGTCACCGTCGCTGCCATTCCCCCTCGAAATGATCTCGAGGAGGCGAGTAGCTCCCGGCTGTTGAACCCGACGCCTCTCAGGGTAGCCCCCGGCAAGAAGAAGAAGAGTGCTGCCGCTCCCAAGAAGAAAGGTAGTGTCGCTGATCAGGGGAAGCCGGTTGACATGTCCGAAGGCTACGCCTTCCTCAATACGACCGCCCTTGAGATAAGGTCAAAAGCTGATAGGGCCGAATGCTATGTGACCCAGCTTAATGTGGGACCCTCGGCGACGGTGATAGAACCAGGACCTGATGACGTCCTCTCCCGAGCCCCCGAGGGATGTATAGCTGTTCACATTCTCTCGGTGTCAATGGGCCTTCGGTTCCCACAGCATCCATTCCTTCGGGAATATCTTAGGTACGTTGGCCTGGACCCTTGTCAACTGACACCAAACAGCCATTCGTACATAGCCGGATTTCTCCATCTCTGCAAGTCCTGTGGGGTAACACCTAGCTTGGAGTTGTTCTTCCAAAGTTTCAACTTATGCCGGGGGGGGGGGGGGGGCACGCAAATGCCGAGGGGTTCGCCAACTTGCAACAGATAGCCCATTGGAAACTCTTCACTGAGGCCCCTTCTTCAAACAAAGGCTGGAAGGAGCGATGGTGCTATGTCAGGCTGGATGAGAGCCCATTCCCGAGGGAGTTGCGGGATCGCTTTCGGCGCCACGAGAGGATTAGAAGCGCCGCCCTCGAAAGAGATGGTCTGAAGCTTGCAAAAATCCCGGAGGGGCGCAATAAAAATGTAGCTATCAAAGATTGCACCCTCGAGAAGGTTCTGTACGCCCTCGGTTTCCGGCGGTATCGTTTTTTGGGGGAGATAGATGAGAAGTACTCCGAATTGGATAGAGCCTTCGAGGGAGCTGGAGGTAGTAGCCGAGGGCTTTAACTTGTGTACTTGTTGGTCCCGTTTGTAATGGGAACAGTCTAGAGGAGGGGGGGGGGGGTGAATAGACTGTTCAGGAATTTAAACTTTTCTCTAAGTCAAAACTGACTTATCAGAGATGGTCGAAATCTGGTGACAGAGATGGTCAGGTTCTGATGGCAGAACTAGACCAGGCAGCGGATAAGTTTCTTTTCGGGTAGCCTCAAGAAAAATGCTAAGGCAAAGTGCCTTTCTGATAACTCTGAAAGAAGATCTGCTAGATACAGAGTCCAACCTTAAGAGTTAATCAGTAGAATCTTAAGTGCGGGAATTAAAAGCTTAAAGTAAATGACACCGAGGTTTTTATAGTGGTTCAAGGAACAACTTGTTCCTCTAGTCCACTGTTCCACTAAGCTTGCAAAAACAACAGTTTACAACGCCTTAGTCCCTAGAGCTTAAGAAGCACTCATCGTCTTCTTCAAGTCTAGTTGCCACCCGGGATGCAGTCCTGCTTCCTGATGGCTGGTCTCGTTTCACTGAGTCTCTTGAAGTATCCCCACTTCACTTACTCCAGCTAGTTTGAGACGTCCCTTCTTTTTCAAGAAGTGTTTGATTCAAAATCAGTTTTCTCCAACGTTGCTTCTTCACAAAAGATGAGTAGATGAAGTTTTTGAAGTGTTGAAGAACTGAGGAACTTTGCAACTTGCTAGTTGGATGAGGGATTAGAAAGTATATCTTCCAACTGTAGCCTTTTCTTGTTAAGAATGAAGTTTGAATCTCAAGAAGGCTTTGAGGTATTTGATTTAGAGTAGAATGATCTGAGCAAGTTCGTTTTGCAGATGTTGTAGCAAAGTTATTCTCGTAGTTCTTCAGAGTGTATCTTATATACTGGGAGCAGTCTTCCCGTTGGAGTGTAGAAGACAGCTTCATTAAATGCTTGTACTGTTGACTTGACCGGTTGGACCTTCGACTTGCTATTTTGGGGGCGTGAAGATACTCGCATGGTCAATCATCAACTTTAAATATCTCTTCGTATGTACAACATTAAATGTGCATTTAATGTGTGTACATTACCATGTTTCCGTTGAGAGGTTCGTAACCGTTAGGGGATTTCCCGTTAGTTTAACGACCGTTGGTAAGTGCTTTCGGAATCTTTTAGCAGAGTCTTATGAGGCTCTCTGGTTCAATCTTTGAAGTCCGCCTCTGTTGCCAACTCTGGTACCAACACTGATGACCAGTTTCTGATGGCTTCTCTGGTGAGCAACTCTGGGAGCAACTCTGGTAGAAGCAAGGTGGATCTCTGGCAGACAGACTAAGCTAAAACTTACAAAAGAAATTCTAATACAAAATTTCTAAAGGGGTACTTTCAAATTCTAATAAACCTAGCATCATCAAAATCTAAATACATTTATTCCTTACAGTACTTAGGAAATTTTTGTCGCTTTTGACATTGGCTAATTATTTTTTGTTGTCTCGCAGGTGCAAACATGGACGCAGGGAAACTCTTCGCCCTGAAGAAGAAGGGCATGGCCCAATCTCAGAAGAAGGACCCTTCGGGCCAGCAGCCCGTTGAGACCTTTTTTCAGAAGGAGATACTGGAGCCCTCTACTGTGGCTGCCGTTCGTGATGTGGCCGGGGGATGGGGGGACGAAGAAGAAGAAGGGCAGCAAGGGGGTAGAGCCCCCTGCCAAGAAGCAGAAAGGTCCCGGGGATGTTGCCGAGAAGGCGGCCCCCTTAGTGATCATAGAGGATCATTCCTCTCCCGAGCCCCCGGTTGTCACCGTGGTGATAGCTCAGACGGACCTTCCCCTGGGGAACTTTCCCCGGGAGACTCTGCAACTCTCCCTTGCTCGGGGAGCTTCCGTGATGCACGACTCGGCCGAACCGAAGGCGTTCCTGAGGGGGATCACTTCGGTGATGGATAAGGCGGCCCTCGCAACCTATGACGACGAGGCCCTCGAGAGCAAGATCTTCCGATCTTCTCTAACTGTAAGTTTTTTCCTTGTCCTTGTTTTAACACTTAATATATTTTCAATATCCGTCTAAATCTTTTGTTCGTTGTTTAACAGGCTTGCATATCCCTCGGAGAGCATGCACGAAAGCTCGAGCAGTGGCGCCTCCACAAGGCGGAGCAGGATGAGAAGATGAAGGAGCTCATCCTCAAGAACTCTGGCTCTGTGAAGCAGATGGCTCAGCTGGAGGAGAACCTTCGGAAGGCCACCGAGGGGGCTGAGCAGAGGCTGAAGGCTGCCGTGGAGGAGGCCAAACTTGAAGCTTAGAGGGTCGATGCCGAGGCCTCAAAGAAAGCTGCTGAGGAGGCGGAGTCTGCCAAGGCCGTAGCCATTGCCAAAGCTCGAGAGGATGCCGTCGCTGTGTTCATGGCTGAGGGCTGGAAGACCGAGGAGCGGCAGCAGTGGGTGGCCTCGGTCGTCGAGTCTTCGGTGGATAGCTGGGTGAAGGGCCCCGGGACTGATTGGATGGCGGAAAAGGGCGACAACTATTATCAAGGGGGTGAATTCTTCACCCAGCATCTGGTTTACCGGAGGCTCGCCAGACACTTCGGCGTTCCCCTCGAGCAGTTTGATTCGGCAGTGTACGGCCTTCCCCCTTTTCAACCTGATGTGAGAGTGCCCCTCCCCTCAGGCGAAGAGAGGCCGGTGATTCATGACTCCATGATGATGGGTGGAGATGATGATGCCATCGGGGAAGAGGTCTCCTCCAAAGCCGCCGAAGGCGCCGATGATGAAGCTATCAACCCATGACTTGTACTTAGATTTCTCTTGAGCAACATTTGTAATGTAAAAACATTTTTTGGCTTTCGGCTTCGGCCAGTTTGTAACAAACATCTTACTTTTCTTTGATGAATGAATGTCTGCCTTCGGGCCATTTGGTATTTGAGTCCGCCTTCCCCTTTAAATGTATGCCTTCGTCTTTTCCTTTGTGTATGAATGTATGTTTGTATGGTTATGTGGCTGAAGGCCCAACACTTAGGACTTAGAAAATTTCTTAAGTGTAGTGCATCATGTAGCCTTCGGCTACCCTAGTCCTTTGGCTGCATGATGATTAGGCCGAGGGCCCAATCGTTAGGACTTAGAAAACGTTTCTAAGTGTAGCGATATCACTGGCAGCCTTCGGCTGATGGCTTCCATTTGTTTTTGTGTAGCCTTCCTAAGTTGCCCGGGGGCAAACCATTTAGGACTTATAAATTTTTCTGAGTGTAATTTGGACATCGAGCCTTCGGCTAGTATGAGATAGAAGCCTCTGAATGATTGTGAGAGTATTCCTGTGGGTGTGCCTTCGGCTGAGTGATAATTTGATATGGGGCCAGCCTTAGGACTTAGAAATTTTTCCAAGTATGAACCAGCTGCCTAGCCTTCGGTCAGTAGGCACTCCTTGTTGTATGAAGTGGAGTGGCCTTCGTTGCAATGTGAGTTGGCCGAGGGCCACACGTTTTAGGACTTAGAAAATTTTCTAAGTGTTAGCTTGCCACTTGGCCTTCGGCTGTATGATTAGTTGATCGAAGTTTCTGAGTGTTTGAAAATCATCTTGCCTTCAGGATTGTGGCCTTTTTAGGGAAGATTTCCCTTGGCAAGAGTACTTTCCCTTGACCTGTGAGATTGGCCCCTGGTAATGTGTGGACTATGATAGCCTTCGGCTATTGCCAGGTTCCCCAAGTGTGGACTTAGCAAATTTTGTAGTCCAAGAGTAGCATGAAAAAGACATACGCCCTCGGGCAATGCTCGGGTGTATTCCCTCGGTGTTTAGTGAAATGCCGAGGGCAACTGCTGCTTGAAATGTTGTTGAGTGGACTTAGCCAATTCTATACCTTTAGTTGGATTAGAGCTTTTGGCTTCAGTGACTTGTCCATTTGTTGATGACATTTGTTTGAGTAGTAGTCTTCAGAGATTAGTAGCTCCCATGCACCGGGGGTGTTCCCGTGGGGAATCCATCGGTTTGAGACTCCTTGTAATGCCGAAGGATTTCCTGTTGTTATTTGTTGAAGTTGTGTACTCATAGATTTCTCGCTGAGTCTACTCCTCTTCACTCCCTCGTTTTTTTTGTAGTGAAGGGAAGGCTTCAAGAAACTTGGTTTCTTGGTACACCCTTGGGGCTCCCCTTCACTCGCCTCAGTTTTGAAAGTCGTCCCCTCGGCGCCAGACATAGTCCGCGGCCTGCCACACCCTTGGGGTAGTGGCGCGGGGAGCGTTTCGGTTTAGAAGTCGAATCCTGGGCATATTCGATGCCTGCCAATCCCAAAGGGAGATGGCGCGGAAAACGTTCCGTTTTTGAAAGTTGAATCCTGGGCATATTACTTGCTTGTCATACCCTTGGGGTAGTGACGCGGAAAACGTTTCAAGGAAGGGTTTTCATTTTCACATTGGTTGCAAATGGTCGGGGGCACTACGTGCTGCCGGCACCGATAGGTGGCGCCTTCAGCATATGCGTCCTCGAGGGGTACGGCTTTAGAAACAACACTTGGTGTTTGTTCCAGTATACGGCCCCCGGAACCTAGTACCTAGGGATCTTCTTTTAAAACACTTGGTGTTTTTCTTTACTTGTCGCAAATGATTGGGAGAGTGTAGCCCCGACACTTGGTGCCGAGGGGTCTTCTTCGAAAACACTTGGTGTTTTCTCCACTGTTGTAGGTGATAGTAGTGCCTACCCTCAGTGCTTGATGACGAGGGGTCTTGTATGTGATAAGGCCTGGGGCCAGGAACTCATGCGAGGGTTTGGCTGCTCACAAGGGCCTTGTTTCTTGTCCTTGGTGCCTTCAACATGCCTTCATTCTTTAAAAATTGGAGGCCTTGGGCCATAGAATAATACATTCACTAGTTATGAGGGCTTGGCCGCTCTAATGTATTGATAAAATTTTACTAAGTGATGTACATTCCAATGCCTAGGGACCTTGGTCCCATTGGGGCGTTTGAGTTTGTAAGTCCCTGGTTTGATGACGGCTGCAATGATGTACGGGCCCTCACATTTTGGTGCCATTTTGCCTCCCTCGGTTGGTTGGCTAGCTTCCCTCCTTCGGAGGACATAGTCCCCTACTTGGAATTCTCGAGAGCGGACTTTGGCGTCGATGTAGCTTTTGATTTGCCTTCGGTAGTTCTCCGCCCGTATGAAGGCTTGCTCTCGGCGTTCTGAGATGAGGTTAAGGTAGAGGGCCATGTTGGCGTCGTTGACTTCGGGGTCATATTGGATCACCCTTCGGGTAGGAAGGGTCACCTCCGTAGGAGGTTTAACCTCAAAACCGTAGCAAAGGGAGAAGGGTGTTTCACCTATTGCCCGCCGAGGGGTGGTGCGGTAGACCCATAAGATGTTATGGAGTTCTTCTACCCAGCCTCCCACTTCGGCCTCCAGCTTCTTTTTTAGGCCCTCGAGCAAGATCCGGTTGGCGTTCTCTACTTGGCCGTTGCCCAGAGGGTAGGCAACGGAGGAGAAGGTGTGTTTGATGCCCCATGCCTCTAGGAGGGCACAGAAGGGGGCTGCCTCAAATTGAGTTCCGTTGTCGGAGATGATTTGCTGGGGGACGCCAAACCTTGTGAGAATGTTCTTGAGAACAAAGTGACGACATTTGGCCTCGGTGATGCTTGCGAGGGGCTCGGCTTCCACCCACTTGTTGAAATAGTCAATGGCGACAATGATGTACCTGTTGTTGGAGTTACCCCTCGGCAGAGGGCCCACGAGGTCTATGCCCCATCGAGCGAAGGGTATGGATGTGCTGATGGGGGCATAGTTGACCGCTGGCCTGCCGGGGGCTTTCTGGAAGTGTTGGCATGCGGCACACCTTCGGGCGAGATCCGCACAAACCCAGACCATTGTAGGCCAAAAGTAGCCTTGGTTAATGAGCCTTCGGGACATGGAGAAGGGTCCCTGGTGAGCTGAGCAAGTGCCACTGTGCACCTCCTCCATTGCAACCTCGGCTTCATCTTGATGAAGGCACCGAAGTAACGTCCCGTTGTATGACCTTTTGTAAAGCCTTCCGTCCTCGATGGCGTAGCTGGGAGCCCTCAGTTTTGCTAGCTTGGCACGGGCCTCATCCTCAGGCAGTTGCCCTGTGGTGATGAAGGCGACAATATCTGAGATCCAGTCCTCTTGCCTTTGTTGTATGAGCATGATGGGGCTAGCATGTATGCTGGAGAGGCTGAGCTCCTCGATTTTTGCAATCTTTGAGATATATTCAGGGGATTCAGCCGAGAGCTTCGATAAAATGTCAGCCTCGGAGTTTTGAGCCCTCAGTTTTGAAAGTCGTCCCCTCTGCTCCAGACATAGTCCGCGGCCTGCCACACCCTTGGGGTAGTGGCGCGGGGAGCGTTTCGGTTTGGAAGTCGAATCCTGGGCATATTAGATGCCTGCCAATCCCAAAGGGAGATGGCACGGAAAACGTTCCGTTTTTGAAAGTCAAATCGTGGGCATATTACTTTCCTGTCATACCCTTGGGGTAGTGACGCGGAAAGCGTTTCAAGGAAGGGTTTTCATTTGCACATTGGTTGCAAATGATCTGGGGCACTACGTGCTGCCGGCACCGATAGGTGGCGCCTTCGGCATATGCGTCCTCGAGGGGTACGTCTTTAGAAACAACACTTGGTGTTTGTTCCGGTATACGGCCCCCGGAACTTAGTACCGAGGGGTCTTCTTTGACAACACTTGGTGTTTTTCTTTACTCGTCGCAAATGATTGGGAGAGTGTACCCCCGGCACTTGGTGCCGAGGGGTCTTCTTCGAAAACACTTGGCGTTTTCTCCACTGTTGTAGGTGATAGTAGTGCCTACCCTCAGTGCTTGATGACGAGGGGTCTTGTATGTGATAAGGCCTGGGGCCAGGAACTCATGCGAGGGTTTGGCTACTCACAAGGGCCTTGTTTCTTGTCCTTGGTGCCTTCAACATGCCTTCATTCTTTAAAAATTGGAGGCCTTGGGCCATAGAATAATACTCTCACTAGTTATGAGGGCTTGGCCGCTCTAATGTACGGATAAAATTTAACTAAGTGAGGTACATTCCAATGCCTAGGGACCTTGGCCCCATTGGGGCGTTTGAGTTTGTAAGTCCCTGGTTTGATAACGGCTGCAATGATGTACGGGCCCTCAAATTTTGGTGCTATTTTGCCTCCCTCGGTTGGTTGGCTAGCTTCCCTCCTTCGGAGGACATAGTCCCCTACTTGGAATTCTCGAGAGCGGACTTTGGCGTCGATGCAGCTTTTGATTTGCCTTCGGTAGTTCTCCGCCCGTATGAAGGCTTGCTCTCGGCGTTCTGAGATAAGGTTAAGGTAGAGGGCCATGTTGGCGTCGTTGACTTCGGGGTCATATTGGATCACCCTTCGGGTAGGAAGGGTCACCTCCGTAGGAGGTTTAGCCTCAAAACCGTAGCAAAGGGAGAAGGGTGTTTCACCTGTTGCCCGCCGAGGGGTGGTGCGGTAGGCCCATACGATGTTATGGAGTTCTTCTACCCAGCCTCCCCCTTCGGCCTCCAGCTTCTTTTTTAGGCCCTCGAGCAAAATCATGTTGGCGTTCTCTACTTGGACGTTGCCCAGAGGGTAGGCAACGGAGGAGAAGGTGTGTTTGATGCCCCGTGCCTCTAGGAGGGCACAGAAGGGGGCTGACTCAAATTGAGTTCCGTTGTCGGAGATGATTTGCTGGGGGACGCCAAACCTTGTGAGAATGTTCTTGAGAAAAAAGTGACGGCATTTGGCCTCGGTGATGCTTGCGAGGCGCTCGGCTTCCACCCACTTGGTGAAGTAGTCAATGGCGACAATGATGTACCTGTTGTTGGAGGTACCCCTCGGCAGAGGGCCCACGAGGTCTATGCCCCATCGAGCAAAGGGTATGGATGTGCTGATGGGGGCATAGTTGACCACTGGCCTGCCGGGGGCTTTCTG